CCCAGTCACACGCTTCGAGTTGTTGAAAAAAACTCACCCGAACCCGGCATCTGAACAGTGGTTGGTGGCTGCCGTGCCCTGCTTACCGGCCCCGGGGGGTAGGGGAGCGTGTCAGCCGGTACTAACCGAGAGAGTGCGCTTCTCAGAAGCTTCTTTATGGAGGGCTTGTGAGAGAAGGATTTGTTCCATGATTTGGTGTCATGGTTGGGCTGATCCCTATGGTGTAGGTATTAGTGAGGTGGTGTTATCTTATTCAGAGAAGGGCAACCGGAATGATTAGGGGACTGGAGGGTAGGCCTTCAGCTTAGGGAGCTGGGGCTGTTCGTCCTGGAGAAGAGGAGGCCGAGGGGAGACCTTGGTGTGCTCTACAACTCCCTGAAAGGCAGCTGTAGTGAGACAGGTGTTGGCCTCTTCTCCCTAGTGAACAGCGACAGGACAAGAGGGAACGGGCTCAAGTTGCGCCAGGGGAAGTTTAGATTGGACATTCGGAAAAACTTCACCGAAAGGGTGGTGAAGCATTGGAATGGGTTGCTGAGGGAGGTGGTGGAGTCACCGTCCCTGGACATGTTTAAAAAACGGCTGAATGTGGCACTTCAGGAGGTGATTTAGTGTTAGGGTGGTATAGGGCTGTAGGTTGGGCTTGATCGTAAAAGTCCTGTCCAACCTTTATGATTCTGTGATTCTTACAGAAAAGCAGAGAGCACGTTACAGATGTGACAGCTTCACTTTGCAACATGGAGACGAAACAAGTTCCAAAACGCTTGCATGTTGGAGGGCTTGGCCATACGGTTTCTAAGGCTGAACTGCAAGAAAGATTTGGCAAGTTTGGGCATGTTTTGGATGCAGAGATTATTACCAGAAGAGACGATCAGGGTAACAGTTTTGCATCATCCTTTATAAATGAACTATTTTTCAGTTTGTCGTGTGAAAATGGAATTTGCGCCAGAGACCCTGTATTTTAAAGAAATAGTTTAATTTTCAGATTTAAAGGAAACACTGAAGTCATATAGAAATTAACTGAATGTTTATCGTTGATCAGGGAACCCTATGAAAACTTTTGCTTACATCAATGTCAGCATTTCTGATGCAGATCTTAAAAAATGTAAGTACATTTTTAAAACTTTTCTGAAGTATTTTATGTTTTTAAGTCAAGTTGCATTACCGATAATTGTATTACTGCCTATCTGACAGTAGCAAAGAAACCAGAGCACATGAATTTTCAGGATCGTATTTGAAATGAACTATACAGAATTGAATGAATCTCTTGAAGTCAGAACTTTAATTTTGGATGTAGGCCTTTTGTAAGGTTTGCATGTTAGACCTTTCACGAACAAACTCAGATCAGATGAGTAATGAGGTATAAGATCTTGCTAAAGAAACTTGAGATGGTCATAGAAGGAGGTGTAGTCAGGTCTACCATGTATATTTTTAATATAGAAAATATTCATTTCCCATCTCTTTGTTTTACAGGCATGTCAGTTTTAAACAAAACAAAATGGAAAGGGGGTACACTGCAAATAGAGTTGGCCAAAGAAAGCTTTTTGCACAGGTAAAAGTCAATAAAAAAATGTATGTTGATGCTAAAGTTACCCCTTTTTCTGTTTATGTGATAGCATTATGGCTGTACTTTCGTCTCCTACACTTCTATTCTTCCTAGGTTTTATTGACATTGAGGGACTGTTGGTGCATGTTAGAATCTGCAACGTGTTTTGCATGGTTATTCCCTTAAAGGTAGCAGATATGTTAATTCCTGAAGTAGTGAGTGGTTACTGTTCTGTGGGAGAGGGTCACTGCCAACTCTAATTTAGCCTACAAGCAGGCCTTTTTTCAAATATGATGTGCTTTTTTGGTTCAGGCTCGCTGTGGAGAGGGAGGAAGCAAAGCTGCAAAAAGAAAAGCCACAGAGAAACAAGACAATGTGTCAGTTAGAATCACTTAAGAAGGCTGGAGTTGTAGACTTTCACATGAAAGCAGTACCAGGGACAGAGGTGCCAGGCCATAAGGTATGGTGGGGTAGATGTTCAGGAGTATTAAAAAATAACACAAAGCAGAATTGGGCATAAGCACAGTACGTCTAAATTTATGTCACGTCTTTATTGGGTGTGACAGTCCAGCTTGTGGAAAGCAGTCTAAAGAAATACCTTATGCATAGACATGAAGAATGCTCCTGTTGTTCTTTGTAATGACTGGAAATAATCTCGTTCATACTGTCCTCTTTGCCATAGGAAATTAGTAAATGCTTTGTTACCCATTTATGTCGGGAATATCTTCATGACACCCTTAAAAGTATGTAAAGAGAATGTGTGACTTATTTTTATACAGCATATACATTTTTGATGGCTGTGTTGTCAGGAACTAATCCTTGTGTTTCAGCACATTCAGGATCGGGGTCTACCCATGCTTACACAAGTAAGATTTAGAATAAAATCATTGAACGTGCAAATTTAGGCACAAAAGTTTTATTTGCTGTGAAGCTCGCAAAATTATTTACTAAGCACACAATGGTTTTGGAGGGTGGTTGGGGAGTTGTAAATTTTTTTTGCGGGAAATGGGAAAAGGGCAAAATAATGGTGATCTCCTCTGTATAGTTACCACTGTTAATTCATAAGCCACATTCAGCTCTTTATTGTCACTCTTTATTTGCAGGATGTAGGAATTTGAGGGTTTCATTGGTTTTGGTTTTTCTTTTTCTTTTTTTTTTTGAGCAGAAAGCTGGCTACGTTGCACAATATGAATATATCTCAGTGAAGAGAGTAAACAAAAAAAGAATTAGTCACAGATGGTTCTACTCCAGCGTTACTTCCACTTCTGTTTTGTTTAACACTGATTATTTTTCTTTTCTTTTAGAAATGGGTTGTTGGTAAATTCGGCAGAGTCTTGCCTATCCTTCACCTTAGGAGTCAGCAGAAAAATAAAATATCCTTTTCCTATTGGTTGGGCACAGGCACAGTTCCCTTTCTTCTGTCGTATGGGGAAACATTTGCTTAACAGTATTGACTACTATTGATTTACTGATTCCCCAAAGCAAATCTTGCAGAACGTTTGTGGGATTTGAATAAATTTCTTAGACTGCAAGTCAGTTGCTTAAAGGCTTATGGCCGTACCATTAAAAAGGACTCTTTGTTGTCCTTTTACAGAGAATTTAGCCTGTTTGTAAAGTCTAATTGCCTCCTTGCTGTAAGAATCGTACTGTTTTAATTCCTTAACTGAGACTAACATCGTCAAATACGACCCTTCAAAATATTGCCATAACCTCAAAAAGCTGGAGCTGGACTTGACACATGTAGTTCCTATATCTGAGCTTACCTGGCACTTGGAAGAGAGAGATGACAGCATAAGTAAGAAGCGGCGAGGAGAGTTCCCTGTAACTGAGAAGCCACATAAAAAACTGAGGCAACTGGGCAGTGAGGCTGCAAATGGAGCAGTAGCTCTCCCTTCTGGGTGGCAGTCATGTTCAGAAAAGCCAGGCTCAGCACAGCTAGATCACGGATCAAATTGCAAACCCAATGAGAAGTCTGAACCACCACCACCATCAAGGAGTCTTAACAGCAAAATGTCAGGGAGAAGTTTACTGTTGGATAAAAGTAATGTTTCTGGAGTTCCATCTCAAAATAATAGGAGTGGTTCTGATAGTGACATTGATTCCGAAGAGGGAATCAGGGCAATGGTAAAGAAAGAGCTAGAAATACAGAAAGCTGGTGATGTTGAGACTGACAGTGACCACTTGGAAATTGTTGGGGATAATTTTGAATTAAAGTACAATAGTCACTGGTCCTTAAGCAATACAGGTACCCTGAAAAAAGCTATTAAGGGAAGTTACAGAGAGGAGGAGACTATGGAATGTGATAATGGTTACAATTCAGCAGATACAGATGAAATTATTGCTGAAAGTAAAACTTCAGATCCAAGTAGCAGGAAAACTGTGACCTCAGAAGATTGTGAACAGGTGAACGTGGAAAATAAAGAAATACTAAGTAACAAAAAACGTGATTTGGTAAATGACTCTTCCCTGAAGACCCGCCATTTAAAAAAAGAATGCTTTGAAAAAAAAGGGAAAATGAAATCATCCAAAATTGGTGCCTTGCAGCGTACAGCAGTTAACAGTACAACAAAGGCAAACAATAATGAAAGCTCCTCTTCAGAGTCTGAGAAAGGGGAGTCTGAAATCGGTTCTGATTATGAATCCATGATGCAAAACTGTTACCGCTTAGACCTTACGTTAGATGACTTTAAAGCATTAGCTACTGCAAATACTGGGAGAGCAGCAGCAGAACTGGATAGTACACAGAGTTCTAGTCAGCACAGTAATGAAGAAAACCCTAGACATAACAGTGTAAATAAACAAAGACTTTCTAAAATTTGCCCTGCGGTTAAAAAGAAGTGTATCTGTCCTGAAGATGTGGTTGCTGCAATTTTAGCAGGAGAAGAGAACGCTGATGAAGAAAGCTCCAAGACACAAAAGAATTCATGTTTGAAATATCAGCCCTTCAGAGGAATAGGGTCTCTTTGTGAAGAAGAGTTGACTGAGGACAGGGCTGATTTAAAGAAGAGGTCTGTGCAAGGTTTAGGTCATGAAGCTTGTGTTTCTCATGGTGAGGAGGTGTCATCTAAAAGGCAGCCTAAGAACCATCCATTGTATTCACTTGAAGCCAGCAGTAAAAAGAGACAAAATAGGCGTCGTGAACAGCACACAGAGTTGTCGGACGCTGCCTCCATAGGTGATGAGGGAGTCGAGCCTGTTTCCAGGCCATGTTTACAGGGAAAGAACAAAAGTGCGAGTTCTTCACAAGACAGCCAAAATTCAGAGCGTGGAGATGCTGCTCCTAGTTCTGCTCAGAGTGAAGATACGAGCAGTGACATGGAAAGTAATTCTGCAGCATCACAGGAACATATTAGGCAGCAATTGAAAAGCCCAAAACTGCTTTCAAAAAAATTGAAGAGGAATGTAAGCAATAAAAATCCAGAAAGTGAAGCTAATAAATGTCGAAATGGGAAGACAAGCCTTGTGGAAAATCAGGAGCTTTGTCTTCATGCTCCTGCTTCAAAAGAACCTGGTACGACAAAGAAACAGCTGCAGGATAACCAGAGGAGGCTGGCAGCTCTGGAAGAGAGACAGAAAGAGAGAGAATTACAGAAGAAACTAATTCAAGGAGCGCTTTCAAATCTGGTAATTGCACTCACAACTTCTGAATGGTTTGCAGTAGAAGAAAAGGGGAAATTAATGGATGTGGTTTAAGATATTTTAATCGTGTCTGGAATTTCTGATTACATTGTCAGTTTTCTTTTGAGTGTATACAACATGATGCATGCCTAATTCCAGGCATCTCTCTAGAGTTTTAAGAGGAATATCGGATTCCTCCTTTTGTGTCACAGAAATGTCTTTTAGATACTTCTTTACGTCTACAGCACATATGTGATATGTGTGACTTGATGGTTTCACTCTTACATAGGATAGCCAGCCAGCAGACAAGCATAAACACATCATATTCGATTCAGATGTGGAAAGTGAAGCTGAAGCAGATGGGATGTTGAAGAAAGACACAAGTTCGGGAAATACACATGGAGAAGTAAGTGTTACTGGGAAAAAGTTCAGTGTTCTCTAAGGTAATTTTGTACTGTGCCTTTTATTCTGAAGATTATTTTTCATAGTGAAGTGGCAGAAAAATAGATAAGATTTGAAGTAATATGAATGATTCCTGTTTTTTTGCTAATGTGAAATAGGTTTCAAAGAACTTAACTGTGCCTCTGCTAAAGCCCGATAACTTTGAGAATTTGTAAGGAGATGGACATTTCTGTGAAAGATACTCTCAAGTTTGATTAAAAGTAAAAGAATGTTTAAGTGATAGGATTTACGCATTATTATTTTTGAAATTTTACTCCTTTTATTCGAAGGGGAGGCAATTGGGCCTGAGTAGTGCAGAAGTACCCTTTGCTCCTTCCAACGTTGCGGACATTAATGCAGTGTCTTGGCTTTAATGTGATGTTAGGGCCCAAAGCAGTTGTGGTGAATTGCCTCTTCACACCTTGCTTAACTGAGACCTTAGTTTAGCAGGCTTCTAAGGATTTTACTGCCATACTTTCAGTGCAATTAAGTATTTTCTTTTTTCTGGAATAGAACTTCTTGTGTCATCACAATTTTCAGTCACATGTGTACTAAAGTTTTAAGCCATTACTTTTGCTTTTGTTGGTTTTTTTCATCATAGGCATAGTGACATTAGGACTATTCTGACATTTAATTAAAACTTCCTTTTCTCACTTCTCCTCACATGTATATCTTACCCTGTATTTAGGGTCCCTGCCCTTTATTTTTCCTTTTCTTTAAAAGAACCTCTAATTCAATCGAAAATTGTTTCAAAGCCATGGAGCGGTTACCTTTTGAAATCATTGATACTTATCAACTGACTTAAACAATGTCGTAGAGTTTATACTGTAAATGAGGCTTGTTCAGAAGGAGTACAACTAGACATTGATGTTTTTTACATGATCTCCCCTGACATAATCAGAAAGTTGGATTTTTATACTGAACTCTCTCAAATTGTAAAAACTGAATTCCCCTTTACAGGGATATTTTGCCTATGATACAATTTAATAGTCTGTAACTGTAAAAAAAATTGCACAGGATGTCTATACAATGTAAGATTTGAAGCACATGGATCAGTGTGCTGGTTGTTCTAGAAATCTGCTTTTTTAGCTAAGCTGGAAAGCACATGAAGAAAGTTGATACTGATTTGTGTTCTCAAACTTAGGTGAACAGCTGCTTTTCTGTGCGTTCTTTTTGTTCAACAAAGGTTGAATCTGCTCCTAGAACTTTGGGTAGACTCTTTGAAAGCAGCGACGATGAGCAAGATGATACAGATGATGAGAGATTCAAAATCAAGCCCCAGTTTGAAGGCAAAGCTGGCGAAAAAGTGAGTGAGCCCATTACTGTAATTGATTTTTCTTCTAAGTCTCCATAACACCACTTCAGAAGAATAGAACCTGTGAGTTTGCATACTTGCTGAATATGATTGACAAACTTGCCAGAGTGTTCTCTGAAATAGAGGAAACGGCTGCCATGAAGGAAGTTATGTGTGTTGGGGAGTGGGAGGAGTTTCTCTGATGTTGTCACATTTGAATGCAAGGAAAATTCTGAAAAAGGCATCGAGAGCTAAAAGTTATTAATATGTTGCCATAAATACAGTAAGAAAAAAAAAGTTACTGAATGTCGATGACTTTCTATTTCATGCTTAGGAGGATCTATTTCTTTTTGTTTAGCTCTTGAAATTGCAGTCACGATTTGGCACAGATGAAAGATTTCGCATGGATGCTCGATTCCTTGAAAGTGACAGTGAAGAAGGTAAACTTGCTCATGTTTTCTGGTTAATTATACTAATAGAACTTTATCTATGGAGCCTTAATTTTGGATGCTTAAAACAACTGAGGGGCTTTTTTACCTACTTCTGCTACTGCCTTTGTTTTCCTAATGTGATCTTTTTTACAGCATCTATCAGTGGCAGAGTTGCACAGTTATGTGATATAAGCAGGGATCTGATCTGATTTTCGCATGAAATAGATGCCCAGGACATTTTTAATAAAATGTTTTTTACAGTGCAAGGGAGAAAGCCTCTAAAGAGTTTAAAAATCAAGGAAGTGATGTGTTGATATGTGTGCGTTCTGCTGTTATTGTAATGTTATATATCAAGTATTACAGGCTTACTCAGGTCATAAGGGGAATAAACAATGTGTTTGTTATTCTCTTAGCAGAGACAAACACCTTGAAGGCAGATGAGGAAGAAGAGCTTGCTGCAGAGAAAAAGAAAAATCTGCAAATACTGGGAAGCCTCTTGAATATCAACCTGGAACACCCTAAGCCAGCTAAAGCAGCCACAAATGCTAAGAAATTCAAGTATGAATCATCCAGTATCAGAAAAGAAGGAATTTTAGGAAGGCTTAGTTTTTGCCAGTGTTTCACAAGGAAAACTTCTGCCTAGCTGACTGAGAGAAATATTTCCTTCTCTGTTGTGTGCATTTGAAGTCGGTCTTTAATGCAGTTTCCCAATAGATGATACAAGTGGTAATTGTCATTGTATTAGGAAAAAAAATATCAGATGCCTGCTTGAATTTCTTCTAGTAGATTTTGAGTGATTGATGTGCTGATTATGAAAATGAGTTTTTTAATAAGGTTTTGCCTATGTAAGATACATTTCTGGTCTCTTGTGGAGAGAAACTTAAGGTGGCTAAACAAAGAACATGTGAGTTGGGCAGTAGGTTTTCTTTTCCAGGAAAAATTAGAAGTGGCTTTAACGAAATCGTAGTATTTCTTATAAAACACAGACCTCAAGTTGTTGTGTGTTGCGCAGTACAAATAAATTATACCTGTGCCTGTTTATCCTTTGAGGAGCTTTATCGATATAGCTTTGTATCCCTAAATAAATACTTAGAGCATAAATGAACTACTTTTACATGGTCACAAACTATATGGTTAAGTGAGTATTAGAGAACACTGTCCTTTACAAAGCTTTCCTAAGATGACTTCTGGAGTTGAACAGATTATTTCCTCCTCTGCTTAGTCTTTAGAAAGTGTATGGAAGTTTGTACAGAAGTCATGGAATTAAATATGGTTGTGCGGCAGTCTTGATGGTATTTGGCAGTCAGCAGTCACAGTAGTGACTGTGAATAAAAAGTTACTAATTCTCCACTGAAGTTTGATGCTAATCATTTGTAGGCCGGAGAAAATGATAACCTTACTAACTGTTATGGAAGACTTCTTATTTTTCCTGACCTGGACACTGACTAGCAGGCTCTTTCTAAATGCCAGTTAGGTTTTGGCTTGATTTGGAGCATTTTTAGTAAAGAAGTCAATGTGAATTTGAATCTGACTGTAAATGTTTATTCAAGGTAGCTTTCAACTGAGCATTTAGGGTGTCTCATGGTTTTGCTTTTTCTTTCTATTTTTGCAGAGATATTAATGCCCTCCGCTATGATCCCACAAGACAGGACCATGCAGTTTTTGAAAGAAAACCAAGCGCTACAGAAAGAGAGAGGTAATATTACAGCTTGGTAACTGTAATTGCGATATTTTTTCCTGTGGAAAGATGGCTAAAGCAGAAGACTGCAGACTGCTCTGTTTTAATTTATTTCTCTCTGTTACTGCTAAAATCAAGATGTAACCAGAATTGTGACCACTAAGGACACCACATAATGTCATCTTTTCTTTCTAGGCCATCTATTCTCTGCATGCCATTTTCTGTCTTCCTTTCTCACCTTCAGGCTATCCCTTTGCTTCAAGTCATGGAATTCTGTGAGGAAAAAATACTAGCTCTTAACATTTATTTTGCCGGAAAATAAATGTGTCCTAAATATCTTGATTCATATGCTGTCACACAGTAAGTGAAAAGCCGGGGTGTGGTTAATTATAAAGTAGACTTGTTGCTGCCTTTAGAGTCAAGCCTCCGGTATTCCCTAGTGCTTACCCTCAAAGAGTGGGTAAATTGCAGAAGGTGAAAAGAAATGGGTACAAAGTCTAAACCAAAGATAGTTGTGCTTCCATATGAACCTATTTTCTGGCAATAGGAAATACCTTATTGCCAGAACATGGAATTGCTTAGAAAGAAGAAGGAAAAATACCCAAAGCGGACACCCAAACCGTAAAAGTTAACTACTCATTAAGGTGCTTAGATAAGTTTAGGAGGACATTAATAGCAAGGGTGCCTTTTAGGGAAACTTCCTTTTAAAAATATATGTGCTATGTTAATGTCATTTAACAATCTCATTTCAGTAAAGCTGAAAGGAAGAAGAAGAGGGAAGAGAGTGAGAAACCGCCTGAAGTGTCTAAAGAAATATATTATGATATTGCTGTTGATTTGAAAGAGTTGTTTGGATCTTCAAAGAACAAATCAGAAAAAAAGGAAGAAGTACCCTGGGACAAAGATGATGCAGAGGACTCTATACCACCTGACCATTTAGGACCGAACTCTGGTAGCACCATAGCTAAGGAGTCCAGTGGCTTCACATTTTCCTTCTTTGGAGACATGGAGCAGTCGGGCACAAAAGAAGGTAAGAGCAGAACATACGTAATAATATGGTTCCTAATGAGTAACTTATGGCAGGCACAGGGTTAGTACTAGATGATCTTTAAGGACCCTTTCAAACCAAGCTGCTCTGTGATTCTATGATTCCATGAATTCAGAATCCAGGGAATTTTCGGAGGCAGAAGTCAGTAATTAAGCAAAATCATTATGATCTTCTCTTATGCTTGCCAAGGCTGTTGTAGCTTGATCACAGTTAATTTGTGCTTGCATCCCAGGTGTTTTGAAAGGGGTGTTTGGAGAAGGAACTATTATTTTATTGGCTTCTTGGACTGGGAGGGAAAAACTTGGCATCCACTAAATTTCTCAAATAGGGTAAAAGATGATATACAGGTCAAAGCAGATTTCATGTAAATCAACAAAATTTTAAATAAAATGTGTGTTAATTAAGGTGGTAGTAATAGGAGCAAAAGAAAATCTTGGGTTTGACCTGAAGACCCAATAAGATAGGGTAACACAGGTCCATGACTTCAGTCCTTTCAGTGAGGTGAAGTACTAAGGGCTCAGGTATGTGTGTCGGTTACCGTGTGTAAACCAGGCTTCTGGCAACTGGCTGTGTGCGCTACAGGCAGGAATACGAACGGGAAAATAACAGCTTAAACACACAGAACAAGTAAGCTAAGATGCTATGAGGTTCTTCGCAAAGGGTAGTTCACAGTGAAAGAAAGCTTTTCTTCCAGCTCTGCAAGCTAAAAATATGAATAGGCACAATTACTCCCAACTCAGCTGATGATGATTGTTAGCTTGGAGTGACTCAATGGAACCCTGGAGCGTAACTACAAGATTCAAAAAAGATTCTTACACTTTTCCCCTGTGCTGTAATGATACTAGCTGTGAATTTTGAGGGTGAATTTGGGAAATAGGAGAAAGCAAACTAAATTCATACCTGCCCAGAGGGCTGTAGAAAACCTGGGCAAGGGAGGTTTTGATCCTTCTTAGATCTATCTTTTCCAGTCTTTCAGTCACTCTGAAGTAGGAAATTTTAGTGGCAAATAGGGCTATAAACTGATTTGTGCTGTTTTGCAATTTTTTAAAATTGTGCTATTATTACAGAGCCCTATCTACTTGAAACAATAAAACCTGTAAAAGTCACATGGCAAGAAGATCCACGTTTTCAAGACAGCAGTTCTGAGGGTGATGATGAACCAGAGGCATCAGAAAGTGAAATGCACAAAGAAATGCAAGTTATATTTCTGTTTGTTGTCTATGTGATTGTAGTAGTTTGATGTTATGAGATTACTGATAGCAGCACTCGGGTCATGGGAAACTAACATCTCCATTCCACATCTCTGAGCAGTCAGAGTCTTCTTAGGAAACCATTTCTTGCTGCACAGATGGTTGTAGTCAAAAATCGCAGTGCCATACTTCATTTTGGATGTCATCTTCTTCAATGCATATTATTTCTCTAAAGCATTAACCTGTATTAATGAAATTTGCCAGTAACAGTTATGATGCTAAAACTCCTTTATGTTTGCCTAGGTTTTCCCTTTTACCACGGACAGAAAGTGCTAGGTTTTTTTTCTTCTCCAAAGATGATGAACGACTAAGAGGTATAACAGAACTTATAAAACCTTTTTTTTTAAAAAAAAAAAATTGCTTACTGAACTTTGGTTAATGCTTTGTAGTGAAAACACCACAGGTGAGAAGTTCAAGAAAGAAACAAGTTTCCATCATAACTTGTGGTATAAATTGTGGCAGCACATCCCATGAGAAAGTCTTGGTAAAATAGATGCTGAACAGCTATATGGCTTGATTGTTTTCAGATAATTGCCTAATATGTGGCTGGTTTTTAGGGGAGGGAGGGGAAGTCACTTGGCAAGTTATCCAGACATTTGGGGTCCTTTCAGGCATATATATGGTCTTTACCTTTTTTCTGTGTTTCTGGTGTTATCGCTGAGAATAACTGAATACTCTTACCAGCCACACACGCCCCCACGGTTCTTAAATAATGTGGGAGTGTTTTTCCTATGAATGTAGTGAGTTTCACAGTAAACAAATAAAACAGTAACAAAACAAAGAAAAACCAAAACAACAACAAACCCACAGGCCAGCAAAACAATTGCTTTTGATACTTTATACAGTAAATTATCAGGACTGCCATAAATAATGCTTTTTTCCCCCAACCTGTCAGATGACCACTGTTAAATGAATGTGTTAGTGCAGATATAGTACAGTAATCTTGCAGCCTGTCTGATTTACTGTCCCTGCTAAAATTGAGCTCTGAGTCCTTGGCAGGCATAAATTTCCTTGGGAGATGTGGGATAATGGTGTTGAGCTTTTGATGAAACAGATGCAGTTTCACGGCAGTTTATATTTCAGCATATTAAGGAAAACTGCTGCTGCCTTTGGTTTCTCTTAGTACACAAGGCTGTAAAACAGAAGATTTCTGTTGGAGCCAACCATGTTGTGGGGGCAGGAGAGGAGTATGAGGCATAGGCCTTCTGACTTCACTGCTGTGTTGCTCAAGAGATTTACAAACAGCGGCGTATTCAGAAGCATTTGGCCCTATTAATTTGTTCTTTCTTTTGTGCAGAGGGCCCTAAGTTATATTGTAGATCAGTAGACCTCAGTGAAGAAAAAGATGGTTGGGAAGACAGACGTAGATTATTGCTTGAGGTGAGTATTTTAACATCTCTTACTTGTTAACTGTGGCTGAAAGCTCCTGCATGATGAGGGAATGCAGCCCCTTATTTGCTGAATTTGCACTAAAAATTAATTCAGGACCGTTAGAAGGGCTTTAAACTTTATAATTACGAGGGAATTAATTTTTAGTATGGAAGTATGTGTGACATCATGTTGCAATATCCAGTTCAGTAAACTACTGAATCTTTGTATTGTACGGGACTAGTTACGTGACTGGGTATTTTAAAAGTGTTTGAGAAAAACAAGTGAATTTGGAAACTTCTCATAATATTTTGTTAAAATGTAAATATTTTCAGGAATGC